AGCCTTGATTGCAGGAGCGCTTCTGATCTGACAAGATGACGCCACTGTACCGTTTCCAGCAGCTGAAACAGTTTGGAGATATGAAGTTTGAACCCAACATGCCCTGACCTCTCATTAGCTCCAAACACGATCTGACACCGTCATGTTCCTGTTGCCTGCAAACACGAGAAGTTCGTTTTAGTGAAGAGCGCATGGAAAGACATCCTCCGAGACAAGATCGACAAGCCCATGGAGGCTATGCTACGCAGGTGTCAAGCCGTTACAGATGACAAAGTTTTTGCAACAAAGTGCTGAAGTTCCAATTGTTAGATCTGTTGTTACACAGGTTGTTGTGTTGTTAGTTAAAAAGTTTAGATGCTTGAATTTCTGAAACGTAAGATGGTGTTCGACTAAAAAAAGTTTTAGAAACTCCAAAACATTTTCCAAGTCACCTAAACCCTTTAGTTATACGCATTGAGAGTAAAAAAAACAGAGCAAAAGCTTGGGTTTTCAGAAAGTTATGTTCAAAAAAGTGGTAACGCATACGTATCTACACGGTACTCAACAGTGGGGAGGGCAAAAATAGCCTTTTTGCCATGGCGCACACCATCATACTTTTCGTCGCAGTTTAGGAAGGTTTTACGACTCAACATTCCTGAGATGTTCCCCTATGATTAGAAGTAGACCCTTCTATATTAAAGTTGGTAGCCGGACAGGTGGGCGGAAGTGATGTAGTGGCAGTACCACGCGAGCGGTCCGGGGATCAAATCCTGGGTCGTGAGTCGCCCGGGCCAACCAAGCCTTCCATCCCTCCGGGGTCGGTTAATTGGTACCAGACTTGTCTGGGAGGATAAAAAACACTGACTTGTACATTGGCCATCCTTTTCCAACAGCGCCATGAGGAGCGTCGAGATTGAAAATCACGTAGTGGTTGGTGTGTTGATCATCTTCAAACAAAAAAGCCATCCCTGGTAGAGTAAAGTGTGGATCGATAGGGGTTGAAGGATCTCAACGCATGTGGAATTCAAATAGGGTTTTTTTAACCTCCCCCTCCTTCTAGCCCCAGACCTTGTAGAGTTGTCTTAGTGCAGATCCTTTACATAAGAAGGTGGTATGCCACGCAATCTGGCATGTTCAGATTCCTTCTCAGCTGCGTCACGTGAGGCCTCACTATCGAAAGTCATCGAGTGTCCGATGCATGAGTCTCATTCATGAGAAAGCCAACCTGGATAGATTGTGACGGCAATGTACCGCGGTTGAAAAAGCGTGCCCTCGCATGTTGTATTTTGTGGTGGGATCTTCACAGCTGGCCTCTGACCTCGATAGGTATGTTTCGCAGCACTCCTTTATAGACTATTTGGACTTTTCAACCTTTTGTATATATGTTAACGTATATATGTATATATATATATATATACATATGTACATGTTACGAAACCACAAATCAGATACCCGCTGCACACCACATTTGCGTAAATACTTGACAATTGAATGATCAATATCTCAACCTGCTTCAGCTCCTCTAACTTGAAGTATGTCAAAAGAAGCGTGCGAATTCATACTTTGATAGTGTTGTGTTGGAAGCTTTGAAAAATTCCATTTCTAACATGTCCGGTTAGAGGACCTGTGCGAATAACATGGGTGCCCACGCTGGAATGCCTGTGCAAATTTTGTTTCACTGTGCACATGCTAACATAAGCCGTTTGTGTGTTGCCCATAGTTTTTAATCACCTTGCAACTGCTGTCATCAGTTCATCTATGGACTATTGTCTGATGTAGTCATAGCGAAGACCTTTATAAATGCTACTGTCAGGCTAATAATGCAGTGAATTCGGCCCTTAGCTCAAGTCAACTACTCTTCAAGGATGCTTCTCTACATCCTTTCACTGGTACGTTTTGCTTCAATTTACGGAAAGATCTGATTGCTCACATTAAGGAAGCAGCTCCTCGCGATTCAAGCTTTGTAGTGTTGGTTATAAAAGAGACGCTGAACTAGGATGCTAGGACGTTTTTAGCAATTCTGAATAGCTGCATTTCTACAGTATTGGTTTGATAACATTTGGGTCACGCTTTCGTGGTGATTGTTAATGTAATAAGGGAAGTGTTTCAGGATATGGAGCGCTTTTTTGAAGCAGTTTTCTGCATATTACAGAGACGCGTGGAGAGAGTATAAAACCTGAAGCAATTTTTCACTGAGCAGCTCTGGGAATGCTAAAAAACATGTGATAAAAAGGGGTTGTGGTTTGATCCTCACCTTAGACAAATCTTCATCTCTCTAATTTCCACATTCTTGGGCTCACACATAACCTCACTGCGAACAGAAATCTTCTGAATGCAACTATTCGACGCACTCCAAGCTGTAGAGTTCATTAGAAATAAAGCAGTTCCTCTTCTCGGGGAAAATTTTCTGCTCTTTCTCTGGTACTACCAGGGCCGCTCAGAAGGGGTGATCATCAGAGTTATACTCTAGGCAAGCACCCTTATAACATGCAACAAACGGTTTCAAAAAACTGACCCATGAACAAAAGAGTTTCCTGATATGGGTCTGGAACAATGGGCTAGCTAATGGGAACTTAAAGGAGCAGAGTATAACTCACCCCCCAAGTTTGCAACTATGCTCTGGCGCACATGAATTTGAATGAAGAGCGCAACTCCGGCAGAATAGAACTTGTGAAGACATGCAATCGCTAGCAGTCTTCCAATGTCCTATACTTAAAAAAATCCATAACCTGATCATATGGTCATTGTTTTTGTTTTACTGTTTTCAAAGGTAACGCCTTGCATTCCAAACTAGGGAGTTTAAGCTACCATACACCTTTGCTTTTATCAAGGCTCGACCTCTTCACAAGCAATTCACCTTTCTATGATTTGATGTGTGGAACCATATGTCGACTTTTCAGGTTTTGCTGATCGACGCACTTCCTCCTGGATATCCAGGTGAGTCACGAGTTCCCAATTCTTCTGGAGACCACAAATGAATTAAACATGATTTCAGACAGCAAGGAGCATGGAGTAAGACCATACGTTATGGATTACTGGCAGAATAGAATCAAAAATATGTAGACTCTTTCCTTCTGAGGTTCACGTACACCTTAAGTTTTATCTAAATACTTTTCAAAGCGTAATTCGAAGGTGAGGAATGGGTTTGTCTCCCGCCCGTGCGAATGAACGCGGGCATCTCAAGCTTCCTTCAACGAAGCGAGAGGTCGATTCAGATTCTGATGTATTGTACTTGTTGCACGGGTGGTGGCAGGCGACCGATAATTAATCGCGGATAAATTATGCGAATGAAACGATACAATATCAAGCGCTTGTGTTGCACAGAAAAAGTATGGGAATTGAACAAAATTTTACAAAAAGTTCGTAGGACTCGAATAGAAAGCTAGGAACGATAGTCTCGTGCTTAAAGGACGAATTTACGATGGAAAAGCAACCCATTTCAAATTGAGGTAGGATGGTGAGTGGTACACGAAAGAAGGAAGAACCATGAGAAACGGCCCAGAACCCGAGAAATGGGACCCCTTCCTTGCCCGTTGATTTGAGCATTGATGCGACTCTCATCGCTGTGCCCTCTTCAACACTACGCTCTCTCAGCTATCTAATCACTCGCCACGTATTGAACTACGGCGAGTGATCAGATCGGTGGGCGGAGATCGCCGAACTCGCCAACTTTGAGCCATGCTAGGTCGCCAGAGGTCAAATCTTTCGATGCCGATTGCGTGTCTGTCCGCACCCTCAAGAGATTCACCGCTCTCCCCACTAGGCGATTTCTCCCTTCTTCGACCTTCGTTCTTTCCGTGCAATCCTCCTTTAAGCTGCGCTGCAAATTATCGTTCAGACACAGCCGCATGTACAAGGGTTCTTGGGCTTGTTCTTATAACACGATTTGTTAATATAATCTTCTATGTGCACACATTATTTTGCACAATAATTTCATTACTATCACATTTTTTCCATACACACACGAATAAAACAAAGACTAAGGCAGAGCACGTTGCAGTCTCGTCCAACGATTCGCTCGCTGCCTGACGGCTCAACGGAGTATAAACTACTCATCGTCACTGACATGGACAAAGATTCGAGAGCGGGAGAATGGACATGGAGAGCTGTCACTCGTGAAGGTCTCTTGACGTTGAGCCCTGATATGACACACGTGAGCATAACCTGGGACGAGAAGTCTGAAGAGGAACTTGACATCGTAGGTTTATCATTATTTTGTTGAGAGGGAAAAGAAAGAGTCAGCATCAAGTCAGCAAGTCTTGCTTTCATACACCTGCCCTTGACACATCTTGGAAGTTCAGGTCGATGAACATCAAAGGCCGTGCTATGGAGTTGTCTGACTTGTCGGTCTTCCATAATCGCATACTCACCCCTGATGACAGAACTGGACTAATCAGTGAAATCAAGAACAATAAGGTAAGAGAACGTGAAATCAACATCCTAATTAGCACATACGACTGTTTAGATGATCCCTTGGGTATTCCTCAATTCTGGACCCGGAAACACTACCAGCCCCTTCAAATGCGAGTGGATGACCATTAAGGATGACGTGCTCTATGTTGGCGGTCACGGCAATGTAAGTGACATTAGTGAGATCAAAGGATAAATCTGCTAGATATGAGGTAACAACCGAAAAGTATAGCTCACATATGCATGGACCCGGCTCATAAATACTTTGACTTAGTTGACAAAAGCTCTCAGTTCATATTTCATTACGACGACATTTTCAGGTGTTCAGAAATAGAGAGGGAGAAATTGTGCACCAGAACAACATGTGGATCAAAACTGTCACCCCTGAAGGAGAGGTACGAAAAGACTGCAAAAAATTTTGTGATTAGCAAAAGTGGTTGGCGAGAGTATAATCTCCAGAGATGCTCTTTTTCCGCAATTTATACGGTTGGAGCGTGTTTTGCCTAGCGAGCGCTGTCTCTTCTTAAGACAAGCTTTCGACTTTCTAGCAATGCTAAAGAGTTCATTGAGGTGATTATGTCCGAAACCATGAGTCTCCTTGCAGCTTGGGAAGCGCGCCCACTACGGAGTAATTGCTGTCTTTATCATCACTACCTGCAGGAACGTAGGCAGCGCTACAGTGGGGAAGATTGGCACTTCCATGGACCATTTAATTTCCAAGTTCACAAGCTCTTCAGTGATTGAGTGATTTGGAAGACGGTCACAAGCTGGATACGCTCTATGATTTCCTTCAGTCTCCCATGCCTATATTAGCGTACACCCTTGTTTAGAAACAGCCAAACGGATCCATTTGGAAATCTTGTTGAGTATGCTTTACAACCATCTGTTTCCAATCGAATTTCATCGGTGCCACAGTAGTATATATTTCCTTGCTTAGGTTACCAACGTAGACTGGACAGATGTTTACAACAACGCTCGAAATGCTGTCGGTATTTCTGAACCAGGATACCTTACACATGAGGCGGTTCAGTGGTCGGAAACACAGGGACATTGGTACTTCCTCCCTAGAAAGGAGTCAAAGACTGTCTACGTAGAAGAAGAGGACGAGACAAAGTGAGTGAAGCTTCGTATTTCTTGAATTGGACTAAATGCATTTTATGAAATGCGAGACTAAACACACTTTCAGAGGCACGGATCTCCTGATAATTGGAAACCCGGATCTTGACCAATTTGAAGTCAAGAGGGTAGGAATACTGCGACCTGAACGCGGATATTCGGCATTCGATTTTATTCCTGGTACCGACGACAAGATCATCGTTGCCTTGAAGTCCAAAGAAGTGACCGATGAACCAGTCGAAACTTACATCACTGTATTTACCACTGACGGTCAAGTCCTTCTTGATGATCAGAAACTCGACGGCAACTACAAATTCGAGGGACTCTACTTCATTTGAATTTCCCTCGCTATAAAAAGTGTTAAAGGTTGACTACAAATAAATGTTGATATGTAGGAGATTTTATAGAGAAGAATTTGAACATGTCATTTGATTCCGCCCATAAGGGATATCTGTTTTGAAGAAATGTGTATGCTTTTGAAACCGTAACTAAACTCACGCTTCAGTATCAGACTGGTGCGATTTGTACAATAAAATGAATACTTTGGTGGAAAGCCGGCCCCCACTAAAGGGAAAAGTAAAAAATCGTCAGTACGCTATATTCAAGGGCATGTTCGATGGGTGGAGTAGTGGCACGTGGTTAGTGCCAGAGGGTGAAGGTGCTGGATTCTCTCCACAAAGTAGCTTCAGAAGAAAAGCAAATTCTGTATTATTAGGTTGATTCATAATTATTGCAAATTTTTTCGTGCCTTCTTTTTTCGAGAAGATTGGCGTTTTGTTTATTATTTTTTCATGAAAATATTCTTCTCTCTTTCATTAACAGAAATGCTTATCGAAAATCATCTTCATATTCGCCACATATGCTCTACCACTTCGAGAAAGGTTGGAAGGCGGCAGAGTCATTTCGCGATCTCAACGAACTTTTCGGCGAGGGAACAATCAGCAAAAGCCAAGTTGAAAGATGGTTCAAAGACGCCACATTACCGACCGAAGCTCCTACAGACTACCACTTCAATCAGTCGTTGAAAAACTGGCAAACGAACAAAATTTACGACGAGCTGGATGACTTGATGCTTATGTTAGGGAGGGGGTACTAGAATTGTGAGTTCTTCACCCGTTGAACCGACCGACTGCCAAGCAAATGGGAAGCCTTGAAGGGTGGTGACTACGTTTGGAATAATCATTTGAACATGTTTTTGTTGAATAATTTCATCGTTTGCGCTGAATAAAAATTATTGAAAAAGCCGCAATAATTACGCATCAACTCAATATTTTGCCTTCAAGCAGAAAGCGTCGCCATCAAGCTGTTGACATTTGCCTCCTCAGTAGCTCCACAAATCCTTCTAGCACTCCCACCAACATCTCAGAAGGTTTAGTCTTGTAGGGAAGTTCGGAAATTCTTCTATCAAAATTGCCAAATTTTCCATGCCAGGCTAATGCTGCTTGTGAGTTTGCTAGAAAAATGTTTTTCGGCGTAGTTTATTGGGGTCGTGAAAAACGAGGACCTCACAGAAGAAGAAGTTGCCTAAGGTATCAAATACGGCACAAGCCAAAGACTCTTGAAGGCGCCGCGAGCACAGTCAACCTGACATTTGTAGAGCTAACTGCATAACTACCTGCGATTCTAAGGGGCCAGGTCATTTCACGGCAGCGCGTTTGAGTCTTGCACGAATTTTTCGTCAAATAATCAACTCGAAATGGAGGAGCAATTTTCTTTTTGAATAAATGCCGAAATAACCTTTTTTAGGGCTAAGAAATATAATTTATTATGTGCATGATTATTTCGGAGCTATCTAGCAAGGTACATTCATCCCCCATGACCAAATAACTCTAGAGAGGGACGGTACGTAGGGAAAAGCAAAATGCTCAGCACTTTGAAGACTTCAACCCTACTCCTAAGACGTGGTCTCAATTCGATAAAGGAAATGTTTCACGCGATGCTAAGGGAACGCTTCCATACTGCTCCTGTATTTTGCGATTGCCTTTTTCCTTTCTACTTTCGCTGTCATGCATCGAGCTCCTAGAAGTTTTATCCTCTTAAAAAAATGAAAACACTTCGAATTGCATATGAAGGGACGCTAGGGGGGCTGTTTCCTGAAGTAAGGAAGTGAATAGATAACCTGAGATAAACAACTTCTCTTATTTTCATTGCAACACTTCGTATCAGACACTCATAGATAAAAACGCTCGTAGACCATTCAGTTACTCGCCACTGGTTACCACGACTGGTTGAAATGGTGGGCCAGCGGGCCACCGTTGCCTCGCGCTGCGTCAGTTGTGAATGAGGCACGAGTTGAAGCAACATACCTACTCAGAGGAACAGCACCTTCTCAGGGCTTCTATTGTTTCTAATTAAAATAGTTTGCTAAGTGATCAATTTAGCTGCTTAGATTTTAATGATGACAACTCCGATGGCATATCCGATTTGCCCAGAAGAATGTGATCTAATCATACAAGAACAGGACGATTGCCATTACCATTACTCGCCTACAGACAACAGTCTTTATACCCGTACTGTCCATTTTTCAGCTGGAGTAATCTCAGGTTAGCATGTACATTCATAGAATTGCTTGTTTTCACAAGAATGAGACTTCAGTAGGTCGGCAAACCTTTACCATAACCCCTTGGCGTCAGATGAACTGTGTTGTGCAGATGAAATGCACACCACACTGCAATTCACGCCAAAGTCGCGGTCGAGCTGACCTCGGAATTTCGGTGTTGAAATCCCAATTTCATCTGCGATACTCTATGACGAAAGCTAAGTTTTGCAGCTTTACGCAACCAATCGGGGGGTAAAAAGATCGTTATTCGTGTCGCAAAATGATAATACAAAGCAGAATACGGCCCTATTGTCCTATTGACAAGCAACATGAACAGCGGAGTCCGTATACTCACCAATACTAACAACGTGAATCTTCAAGAAGTTTCGAGGATTAACAACACAAGTAGAACAATATAGAGTCCAAAACAGGAGATCACCGATTTGTCCACCGTAAACTGTGCCAATCTGGCTATGGCTTTGTGGCCGTTTGTCCTCCGCAAAGTTCCACTGATCGTTCGGAAGTGAATCCACTGATGGCACTCCGTGCCATCGACGTCATATTTGAACATACTCATAGCATAGAATGTGGTCTCCTGGTGTCAGAGTCTAACCATAAGCCGGAATGGGAACTTCAAGACCAAAATCCCGAGGTCAGCTCGACCGCGACTTTGGTGTGAATTGCGGTGTGGTGTGTATTGCATCTGCACAGCACAGTTTATTCGACGTCAAGAGGTTATGGTAAAGGTTTGTTGACCTACTGAAGTTGCATTCTTGTCGTATTTTGACAGTTTACGCCGTTCCATCATGACGTAGAATGAGAGTAAAGACTATTTAGTTTCCCACCCAGGACCGTTCTTCAAAAGACTGATAAAAATTGCTGTGAAAGATGATTACCATTTGGAGGCGCAAAACCAGTTGACGAGTGAGAGGCAAATTCCACCTGAAGCATGAAAGCACCGTTTGAGCGTCCCCAAGATGGCGTCAAACCGACCAAACCGAATTACGGAGTATATGAACATTACAGTACTGGTCCGGCAGCTTCTAGAATGACCACTAAGTAGATGAAACATGAAGAATCCATGGATCTAAATGAGAGTCAAATCAAAGCAGGGTGATTGGCTTATCGGCTCCTCTCGTCGAAGGTTTTGATAGCGTTGGAGAAACGGGATATCCATGAAAATCCTTATCCCTACTATATATAAAACGCTATGTCTGTCTGTTGTGTGTGTGTGTGTGTGCGTGTGTCACGAAATTCATAGCACGCGTCGCAGCAGTCGTTAGGAGCTGATTTTTTGATATGATATAGGTGGGACGGGAACATATTTGGTGGGGGTCACAAAGTGATAACGACTGATAAGAGCAGATAAGAGGCGCTGAAACACAAATTTCACGAAATTCATAGTGCGCTTCGCAGCAGTCGTCAGGAGCTGATTTTGGGGCATGATATAGGGGGTGGGACGGGAACATATTTGGTGGGGGTCAAAAAGATGACGACTGATGAGGACTGATAGTAACGATATTCGTACGAGCGTAAGATCACTTGAAACCAGATTGTAGATTGCTTATCCATGTATTTTATTGAGCGTTGTTAGTGTGTTGCAAACTCAAACACCTTTCGACCGCTACACTTTCTAGATTTCTTGAGGATGAATGGGATGCTCGAATAAAGTACGATAATGAAATTGCTGGGCATTCCGTTTTGAGATTACCAAAAATCATTCGACCGCTAAATTACCTCGATACTCGATGCATGATGGTTGTTTACATCATCACTTTAGCTGAGCACTTCACTGCGCTTATAAAACAGTGGGATACAGCCAAGATGGGCATTTATGCAAGGACAGTAATTACATTTACGAAAGTATACACTGCGTTTCATAAATATAGGTCCACCCTAAATTTTTGCTATTCCAAAGTTGCTGTGCATTTTTGGGAAATGCCGCTATTACCAATAGTTTCCCCATAACGAAAAACCTTGATACTCGATTTTTGGAGAAATCTTGATTAAGAATAATTAAAATATCTTTTTTAGAGCGTATTTTCACCGTTTCGCGAATATGACTACAGATCACTTTTCGAGAGATTTTATTATAGCAAAAAAACGTCACAAATTTTCAACAATGGGATGGTCCTCCCATAGTCATAAGGAACACAATAATACGTTTTGGAATGCTGGTAATCAAATTAGCTATTACAGTAGGATCGAAATTTGTCTGTGCGCTGATGATCGACGTTTTCAGCTCTTCGGTTGTTCCATTTTGCTTTTCTCTGCTGTGGAACTTTATAGCAATTAAGGCCTTATGATTCTCTATTGGAATCTGATTCAGCTAACATGTTGGCCACCAGGTAACTGCCATATTTTTTCCCACAATTCCATCTGGCGTGGAAGGACCGGCATGGACAGCCGCGTTATCGTGCGTAAAAATCAAGGTTCGAGGGAGCTGTTGTCGGAAAGATGGTAACAGTCGCTTCAGAAGAACTTCACGATACCCTATGGAATCCTCTTGAAAGGAAACAAACACGAGCTCTAGCCGCTCAGTCGTTCAAAAGAGCCTCAATCCATAAGGGATTCTTCGCCAAAATTACCTTACATCAAAACCATCTACGATTTCCACGGAACCCTCCCGTACGCTTTTTTTCTATCAGATCCACCTAGAATAAACTTTTTCACGTCGATCTCAGATCACCTGTAGCACGAAACAAGGAGCTAGAGTCCAAGATCGCGAAGGGTCTGAACAGCCACACCTTCGTTCATTAAGTTGAGCCCTTTTCCACGGAGAAATGGAGACGTGCGATC